CTTGACATTGCAAATGGGATGATCAATTTACATCACGTCTGGATGCTTCATCGAGACTTGAAAAGTCTGAATGTACTTCTTAAAATGGAAAACAATGAAATCAGAGGGTATGTCTGTGACTTTGGAGAGAGCGTGAGTGTCAAAGACATCGACTCGGGGTTTGTGGAGTGCCCGTTTTGGCTCCCCCCCGAAGTTATTAGCAACAGAAAGTGGAGTACTAAGTCTGATGTGTATGCCTTTGGTGTCATTTTGTGGGAAATGTCAACAAGGAAGAGGCCGTATGATGGAAAATTCGCAGCAGAAGTACAAAAGGAAATTATCAGCGGGAAAAGATTAAGTATGAATAGATCATCGCCGTTGAAAGGTGTCGTCGAAATGTGTTGGAAACAAGAACCAGAAGAAAGGCCTGAATTTACTGAGATTTATAAAGTGCTTAAGGCTTTATGATTTTAGTATAGTTTTGTAAACTATTTTGATTTAATTTTGTTTTATGAGTTTTTGTCAACAATTTATAGTAAAAATAATAATACCAATAAGTATAGTATTATTATAATTAGTTATTCATTAATTTATACTTCTTTGGAGTTGTGTTTATCAAGTGTTAAAACCAATATGAAAAAAATCTTTAAAAATAATAGTTCATTTGATAGTAATTAAAAGTTTTAATAAGATTATCTCATAAACACCAAAGAAATGTTCAAATTTCTATTCAACACGATTCAGCCGCAGACGTTCAGTGTAGAGACGATAGATGTTTCAGACAGCAGTTGTGATGTAGAAGAAATACTTCTGTATACCACACCGAGTGTATTATGTCTCTGCAATGTGAAGAAAGGGTTTGTAAGTAAGAACACGATGTATAAATATCAACTGAAGACTACATATTCCTTGATTCTGTCGAAGTATCCCCTTATCCCTGTCACGTCTTACATCCCACACTCTACTTTATATGGAAGACAAATATCTCACACACTCGAGTGCTTCATCATCCGTGTAGACTTCCCAACATCATATAACCATTTGATTGTCTTTACGAATGTTCCACAGATCACTGATGTTGTTTCTGAGACAGATATATACACAACAACCCTCTCAAATTGTAAGTTGTACGCATTCAGAGAAATCCACGATTTTGTCACAAAAGCACTTCGTCTCGAAGCGCCGTCTTCGACAGTCATTTTGTACACCGGCGACTTTTCAACAACAGTGACGGTTTGCCCCGACAAGATGTCAGTTGTTAAGACACATGACATATATGACCTCTTTGCGTTGTATGCGCGGGATGCAGTCAATGAGCAGCTTGCCAATATTCCATTGCTAGGCATCACAAAGACGTATTTAAAAGAGTGTGCGACGTGGGTGGTGAAGTTTGCTGGGTGGATGTGTGGGAGTAGTGATGGGCTTGGAGTCTTTCTTGACAAAGTTCGGCTATATTCATCCAAATGTGAGTGGTGGGATGGGGGTGATGTGCGTCTTGAATCAGTAGAAATGTACAATGTGATTCATCGTTTTCTCTCTGTGATGAATGTCTCCCTCAAGGCGGACGCGTTAACAAATTTATTAATGGAAAAGCATCTTGTTGTGTCCTTCACCGACTTCCAAGAACTTTATGAGCCATTCTTCACTGATGTGCTGTTGAACAACAAAGGTGGACGTGCTATGAATAAGGACTTTATGATGCTTGAGAGAGTACTTGAAGCTACTTCCCTCAATTTCTTGATGGATGAACCCATTTTAACTGACCGAACTCTTCACACTTTCATTATGAACTCTTTCACTAAGAATGGCAAGACTCAGTTTCTAGCGGGTGTTGAATGCAATAGTTTCCAACACATTCCTAATGCACAAAAAATGCTCCCGTCTCGCTTAAAAGGCATTTCAGTCACTTTCACGGAGTGAGTGCGTGCCTGTGTATTTGATCTTTATTTACTGCTTCAAGTGTTATTGTTTGGAAGGAAAGGGAACTCAAAAGGTGAGAAGGAAATTTCGAATTACATTCAAAAATATAGTCTTATTGCTCGTCTTCCTCCTCATCAGTGTCTTGCTGCTCTTCCTCAACACTCTGGTCTTCATCTTCATTTCTGTCACTGACCCACTCCATGAACCCTTTTGCTTTTTGTTTCATCGGCGACATCTGGACGGGTCCGCCATCGTACCATTCTTGTAACGCCTTTTTCGTCACATACCCACCTCTATACAAGTAAAGTAAGACGTTTGGCAATTTCTCGTTGGTGTATAAGTCATACTTCGCGCAAGCGATATTGAACTCTTCTAAGAACGTGATCATCCCCTTCTCGTTGAGCTCGTCGGACAAGTACAAGTCGAATACGTCGATTTTGTCAGTGAAGGTGTCGAAGATGTCCTTATCGAAGACAGTATCAAACATCTCCTTGATTAAAGATTTGTTCGAGAGTCTAAAGCACTGCTTATAAGCAGTTAGCATAGCATTCAGTCTGTTTCCTGTGTTTCCAAGAACAATGGTTTCAAGGTCCAAATCCTTCCCAAGGATTTCAATCACTTCGGGGTCCCCCTCTTTTTTGTGTAAAGTGATGACCACTTTGTTTGTTTCGTATTGTTTGCGTTTGTCCTCTTCGACGTTTTGTTGCGTTTCCTCTTCACCCTCCTCGTCTTTTCTGTCGTCGTGTTTTGGAGGATGCATAAATATAAACTTCAACAACTTCTCGTTTTTGGGGACCTCAGTCAACTCACCACACGCTTTACAGTGGAGGGTTAGGGTTTTGTTTTTGACTATCATCACCGTCTCCGGGTTCTCACATTTCCTGCATAGAACAAACTTGTCGATGAATTTGTCTAATGCAGTCATCAAGTCTTTGTACTCGTGCTTACCATTGATGACATATTTACCAGAATCTGTGTTGGAAGCAGCAGCTAGGGTTTGCCCAAAATATCGGCAGATGTACGAGGCCGGCCGTGCAAGCGCCTTTGCTATATCCTCACAATTCACTATAACTGTCTTTATACCATTCCCTTTACCCTCTATCTTCTCAACAAGGTCGGGCATTTTGTATCGGTAATACTCATCCGTCTTACGACGAGGAACGTTTAACATACGCCCTTTCTCCCCCGAACTCATTTGGATCAAGTTTGAAGTTCAAAACCTATTTTTTCTTTGTTTCAAAAGAATTAATTTACTGATTAAAAGTCTATAAAAGCAGGATACTCTGGTAAAATACTAAGGTGATATTATAGTTCATTATATTATACAGTATAGTTTAATAACACTAATTGAATATTATTGTTTAAGTTTGGTAACTATTTCATTTAATTAATGTATTGTATTTCATATTATAATACTGTTTTATTAATATAATATAAATTAATAATTTATTTATTAATATAATTTATAATAACAACTGTTATAAGTTGTTAATATAAATTTGTTGTTAATCGATGAGATTTTTAATAAAAAAATATTTTAAAATAAAAAAGTCTTTTTATATTTTTAATGAATATAATAATATTATAATTTATTCAGTTATTATTTGTTATAATTAATTATGACCAAATTATAATAACACTTTATTAATAATAGTTAATAGTAAATGAATTATTATAATACAACAATTGAAGGAAAAAAAGTGAAATATACAACACAATTGCCACTTTAAAAGAACTTTTGTTCTGTTTTGGTTACAAAACTATAAATAATAATAAGTAAATATTAAATTAAATTAGAATTGTTGATTGTTTGATTCTGACAGACAAAACGAGAGAATAGGTGTATATCATTTTCAATTCAAAATACCTTTGAATCTTGGGGTGCTGATCATTATTGAAATGAACGAACTAAAATAAACTTGAAAAGGCAACTGGTATATAAGTGCTTCTTTAGAACTGAATAATTCAATGAGAGCCCTCTTCGTTTTGTGTTTATTCGCACTTTCTAACGCCGCTGTTGTCAGCTTAACTGCCGAGAACTTCGATGCCAAGATCAAGGAAGGAAAGCCAGTCTTGGTTAAGTTCTTTGCCCCATGGTGTGGACATTGCAAGAAGCTGTTTGTTACTTCACAGACCTTTACTATTCTGTTATAGTAAAAGAACTAATGAATAGTGCCCCAACTTATGAAGAGTTCTCTAATGTTGCTGAAACTGAAATCCCACAACTTGTCGTTGCTGAAGTCGATTGCCCAGCTAACAACGCTATCTGTGGACACGTCCAAGGCTATCCAACCGTCATTTTGTACCACGACGGAGCTCAAACTGAGTTTGAAGGTGCAAGAACTGTTGACGCTATGAAGGCTTTCATCAACAAAAATCTTTAAATTATTAATGGATTTTTTAGGGTTTCTATTTTGTTTGAACTGGTGAGAAATTTTTTTTCAATATTTAGTTACAGTGATATTTGGTTTTTTTAATAAACTTTGTTGTAATGGAATTATCACTAATTGTATTGATATTGAGTGATAGACACTTCAATACTATTTTAAGCCATCCCACTTCTTGTTTTTCATGTTTTAATGATTAAAGTACAGAGAGAATATTTTCATGTACATTGAGAGTGATATCACTCAAGAACTTTTTTAATTACCACTTCAAATTCATTTGAAGTGTTGTTAATAGATTAAAGAACCATTAATATAATAAGTGGACTGAACATATCACAATTTAGTATCTACTCTATTTATATAACTAATATTAACTTAAGAAATAGTATAACTCTAAGTTCTATATGAGGAAATAGAAGATAGAAGAAACCTCAATGAGATGACGTGGGTCTTTTCTAGAAATAGGAAACCTATTTCTAACTGAAAAAGTGAAAATGAAAAGTCGAGCAGACACCCCCGCACTAGAAGACTCAATTGACATCTTAAAGGCCATCCGATCGAAAAAACTCGAGAGCTACAAGAAGGACAACGACTTTTCAAACATGGACAACGACGAAAAGATCAAATACATCAAAAGCGTCATTCAAATATCCACCGAAGACCCTTCGGCTGCGGAGAAGAGGAAGTTAGAAGGTAAAAATGGGAATCGACGATCATTACAAAGTGAAGACGGTGACACGGATACGGTCATCCAATCGATCTCGTCGGCAATGTACTTTGAAAACTCTCCGCCTTGTTTGTTTCTCTTGTTTTAATAGGAGTGATGGTATTAAATGTGGTGTTTAGATGTCAAATGAATAACACAAAGATATCAAATGTGGGAAGATGAAACCATTCCAAATCGACGCACTTAATTGGTTGATTCGAAGACATCACCTTGGTGTCAATTCAATACTTGCAGACGAAATGGGGTTGGGGAAAACGCTTGAAACGATCAGTTTGTTGGGCTATTTATATCACGTCCAAGACGTCCATGGACCACATCTAGTCGTCTCCCCCAAATCGACGATAGACAATTGGAGGAAAGAAGTGCAGAAGTGGTTACCTTCCATTTCAGTTGGATTGATGGGTGGGACCAAAGAGTCGCGAGATGAGTGTAAGAAAGAGTGTTTCACGGGGAACAAACTCACTGTCGATGTTTTAGTGTGTAGTTACCAAGTTGTTTTAAAGGAGAAGAACTTGTTGCGGAAGCAGAAGTTTGTGTATTTAATTCTCGACGAAGCGCACAGTGCGAAGAATGAGCAGACACAGTTCTACGATGGGCTGAGTGAAATTCGAGCTGCTCACAAACTGTTTCTGACGGGGACACCACTGCAAAATACACTTCACGAACTGTGGGCACTCTTACAATTCTTGTTGCCTGGGATATTTAGAATATCACAATTAGATGGGATCTTTGACTCTATTGAGTCCGAGAAATTTGAACGGTACATTGGGTCGATTCGAGACTTCATTAAACCTTTCATGCTCCGAAGACTGAAGAGCGATGTCCAAAAGGAGTTGCCACCGAAAAAGGAAATTAAGCTGTTTGTGCCACTCACTGAGTTTCAACGGATATGGTATAAAAAAGTGCTTATGGGCGATATCACGACCATCATTGGAGAACGAGTCATTAAGACGAAATTGAATAACACGATGATGCAACTGAGAAAGGTGTGTGACCACCCCTATTTGATGCCAGGTGCTGAGCCGGAGCCCTATGAAAATGGCGATCACATTTGTAACAGCAGTGCGAAGATGATAGTGATGATGAAATTACTCGACAAGCATATTAAAAACAAGGGGAAAGTCTTAGTCTTTTCGCAGATGACGAGAATGCTTGATATCATCGACGACTATTTGTATTTCAAGGAGATAGAGCATTACCGCATTGACGGGCAAACGCAACAAGACCTCCGCGTCGAACAAATTGACGATTTTAATAACCCGGACGGGAAGGTGAATGTCTTTTTGTTGAGTACGCGCAGTGGCGGGTTGGGGATTAATTTACAAAGTGCGGACACGGTGATTTTATATGACAGCGACTGGAACCCACAGAGTGATATCCAGGCGATGGACAGAGCGCACCGAATTGGACAGACGAAACCGGTCACTGTGTATCGACTCATTGCGGAGAAAACGGCGGAGGAGAGGCTTATACGAGTCGCTGAGAGGAAATTGATGTTGAACCAACTGGTCATGCAAAGTGGGAAAACTGCTCGCGAGACGACGATGGGGAAAGAGGAGTTTCAGCAGATCATGCAACAAGAGTTAAACAGTTGTTTAAAGGACGACCAAGTAGTGCAAAAAGTTGAGAACATGGGGATCGACGATATCATCAAACTTGGGGAGGAGAAGACGAATGTGTTGAAGGAAGAAATTGCGAAGGAGACGGAGACGGCAAGGAAGGGGATGGTCAACTTGACGAATTTTGCGTTTGGGAATGACCAAATCAATATCAGAGAGTTTGAAGGGAAGGTGTTTGGAGCGGGAGAGGAGATGGCTGATATGGAGAGATATAAAGCGAATATGAAAATCATGAGGAGCGAAACACTGCGACCCCCGCGGAGTGTGCGATTTCGAGACTTTCAGTTTGCTGATGACGAGTTAAAGGGGATACTCCAGAAAGAAGAGGAGAAGTACCAAAAGCTGAGTCAGACGTTTAAAGAAGATTTGATGTTGGGGATATTGAAAGGGGAAGACATAGCGAAAATAGTGAGACCAATGTATTTAACTCCGGAAGAAGAGAAGAGGAAGGACGAGTTAGTCAAAAGTTCCTTTTTGAGTTGGGACGAGAACGACTTTAAGAAGTGGAAGATGGGGATGAAGAAATATGGTCGAGAGAAGGTCGATGAGCTATCCGTATATATGAATAAGCCAGTGAACGAGGTGCAGAGGTATAACGACCTGTTTGAAAAGAGATATAAAGAGGTGGAAGATGGAGAGAAGTTGTACATCTCGTTATACAAGAGTGAAAACAAACGAAAGGCTAAAGAGGCGGAGATGATTGAATTGAATAAAGCAATTCAAGCCAAACCGGACGTCTTAAGTGTGTTAACGCCATATGTAGTGATTGGAAAGAGTATGACAGACCCATTGGTGGACTCCATGTTGTTAAGGAGGTATGCGGAGATAGGAGAGGATTGGGACAAAATACTGGAAGATGTGAAGAACTGCCCGCTCTTTGTATTTGATATTTATTTGCATGGATATACCACGAAAACAGTGAAGGAGAAGATCCGAAATTTAATTCGAAACGCAGAGAAGAGTCGCGAGAAAATCGAAAAGAATGAAAAGGAGCGATGCGGCGAGATCAAAATTGATTCAATGGAAGAGTTCATGGGAGGGGGGAAGAAAGAAAGAAAGGATAAGTGAATTTGTTTAAATATAGTTTCTCTTTCTAGTTTTTTTTTCTATTGAAAATAGAAGGCACTACTCACACGCCTTGATGAAAGACTCGGCTGTTTTGTCCCCTAAGGACTTCGCTTTTCTCCATAAGGAACACGCTTGACTCACGTCTTTTTGAACACCAACACCTTTTAAATAGAAGACGCCTAACGTCACAATTGCTTCTTTGAAATTGGATGCGACTAAAGTGTTCAATATCTGAATGGATTCATTCAGTTTATTCTCTTCTTTATAAAGGTGAATGGATAGAGCATAAAGTGCTCGTTTGTCTTGCATACGACACGCTTCACGAATTAAAGATAACCCTTCCTCTTTATTTTCTTGATAAAGATAACGACCATACCACGACTTCGCTACCCAATACCCGGCTTCTACTGCTTCTTTGACTAACTCGAGAGACTCCTTCTTGTCATCGTGGTGAATCATTTTAACACAAGCGACATGGAATTTTGCAAATTCATTGCCCGCCCCCATAGACTCTTTATAGCACTCTGCACTCTTCGTCGCACTCTCAAGCACCCCACACCCCTTTCGGTAACACATCCCTAAGTGGAATTTGCACACCCCCGTGTTGTGGCTTTTTAATATCTTCACAGTCATATCTTCTTCGCGCTCTTTGTTGTAATCGCCATATAAAAAACTGATTGCGATATTCACTTCAGAGCTTGTCTCAGAACACAACGACTGCGAGTAATATCGAAGCGCTTTCTTCTCGTCTTTGGGTACACCAACACCCATCTGCGACAACACACCAAGATTATATCGTGACTGGACTACCCCAAAACTCCGAGTGAACAAATCTATGGACGTTTTGATGTTGACGGGAATAAGCCCCGGTAGTCCTTTGAATGCAAGAACACCCAAATTAAAAATAGAATACATGTTCCCATATCGAGCAGACTCTACAAGCATCTTGACTGCTCTGTCGGGCTCTGAAGTAATCAAAGATACACCCAAATTGTTCAAAGAACACAATAACCCTTTACCAGCACTGAAACGCCAATTAGTCTGCGCCGAGTTGACATCCCCAGAAATGTACTGTAACACCGCCAAATTGTTGCATGAATACAAACAACCACTATTCAATGCTACTTTATACATTTCACGAGCCCCACGTTTGTCTTGTGGACACCCCATCCCTCGCTCTTTCATGAGTCCCAAATTGTGTATTGACGCGATGTGCCCAAATTTGGCCGCCATCTCAAAATTTTCGAATGCAGACTTTTCGCTCATTGGCACCAATAACCCACGAAGTAAGCAACACCCTCTTTCATAGTACTGTTTCATGAATTTCTTATTGTTCTTCTGGAATTTTGAATTGCCAAAGAGTCGGATCTTTTCAGCAGCCAAATTGTTCTTGTCTGGTGTGAATAGGAGCATTGGAGACTCATAGAGTAAGTCCAAATTAATTCCTTCATACCAATTTGATAACTGTTTTAACTTCTCAAGGTCTTCTTTGTCTTTCTCGAGATGTGGATTGTCCTGATAGATATTGATGTTAAACTCCTTCTGCGTCTCACCCTCTGGAATGATCTCTGCAGTTGTTTGAATGATGGTCTCCACCTTTTCGACTGTCTCTGTTTTGGGCTTCGTTAGCACTGGAGCAATTTTGTAATTCTCGTCGTCATTTTGAATCAACTTAACCATTTTGCTCTGTGTTATTTCGTCATATCGCATGATCCGCTTCTTTGGCGCACTCTTAATGAACGACTTGAAGTAACTGAAATACATTGCCAAAGAAAATTCTTCGTGCAAAAAGACGACTCCTTGAGCAGTTATTAACTTTGGTATTTTAACGAGTAAATAAGCTTGGTCAATACAGAGGTCAATAGCGTCTACAGGTCTTTCAATGTTATTAAAAAAAGAGGGGCTTATTGATGGAAAGAGTATCAAAAAGAGTTGTGTGAATAAAGACCCATCAGACCACTCACTTGATAAGTTGTTAATGTGTCGACCCAAAACTGGTTCGAGAGACTCAATTGTCGAATTGATAAACGAAATGACTGTATTTGCTTTTTGAGTATTCAAAAAGAGTTTGACTAAGACTGAAATGACTGATTGAGTCTCACCAAGTGTGAATTGGTTATCAAGTGTTGGGTTACTGGAATTAAATATCGTTGATATAACTATACTGTTTTCATAGACCGCTTCAACAAAACTCGACGCAGGAAACGTTTTTGTTTGAGCAAGGTCGTTCACCTTCTCGTATAATTGACGAAGGAGTAACCCATCACGAAAAGTGGAAAAGTCTGGTTCATCTTGGCGAATACCTCGTAATTCGTAACGAAGCCAATTAACGAGTAAAGGTTCGTAAGATTCAAAATTAGTTGTTGTGTCGCTTATATCCATTCAAGTGTAATGTGTTGAGTTCTTGTAATTTTTTTGGGTCTAGTTTTGAATGGATGTCATTTGTTGGTGGTTTGATTAATTTATAAAATGTAATACTTTTATTTATTAAATTTTAATAATTAATTGATTAAAATTAAAATTAAAATTAGTTGTTTTTAATTAAACTTTTTATGTAATTTTTCTTTAAAAATAAGCAAAATATAATAAATTATCATATAAATTAAGTTTATTCATTTTATTATAAATTTTTATATTGAAATAATAAGTTTTATTGTAAATAGAAAGTACAAATAATTGCACGAACGACTAGCAAAAGCCATTAAAGACGTCTTCCCGTTTATTTTAAACTGTTCATTGTGTCTGAGGATGTCTCATTTATTAATTTTTTATCTTCAACTTCACTCCCGATTTTAATAACATTATTGATTGTGTGTTTTTTTCTTTCACACTTTTGATGTTTTGGTACTTCTTGTATTCTTTCATATTCCCCGTCATCGACCATCAAACATTCTCTTGTGTTGCATGCGGTCTTTCCGACAATGCACATATATCCTCTTTGATTTTGATAACGAAAATTGTTACGATCTAATACTAGCAATCGAGTCGAGTAATGTGAATTTTATTTGTTATTCGTATTTTTTTAGTTATATTTTTCGTTGTGTTCTTTGTCAAATTTCGATTTGAACTTTCGACATTCATTTTTTTCGTGAAAAACTTTTGTTCCCAATTGGGAGACAACTATTTCCTTCATCTCTTTAATGGCAACAACATTCCCTCGATATGTTCCTTTGTACACAATCCCAAAACTTCATTCTCCAAGTTTTCGCTCTTTCTTCAACTCGTCTGAGTCAAGTGCTGTCGACATTTCTGACACAAATTTGCGGGAATTTTAATATCTGAAATTGTTTTTGTTGATGTTTAAGACTGAACAAGTGATGTCAACAGTCTTCTCAAGTGTACACAATGGATGAACAGTCATTGTAAACTCTACTGCACAACCTTTCTTGATATTCACTGGGATGGAATGTTCAACATTCAACTCAAACTTTTCTTCGTCAACTTGTGTTGTGAATTGGATTTTTAACAGAAACTCTCTGTCATTACCAATCATGAATTTACAGTCACTGCCTTTCTGAACTGTAAATTTCGCCTTCAAATATATTTCTTGTGTTGAACACAAAATGCGTTCTTTTTGAGTGCCAAAATATATCATCTCAACATCTTTCTATTTTAATCCTTTAACAGAAATTCATTCACTAAAGACTTCCTCAACTTCTCTTCTTTTTTATAATAAATGTAAAACAGTATACAACTTGATGTTATGATAAGAATAACAATTAATATACCAAAAATGATTGGAAGTTTAATTGTAAGTACATTTATCTTGTCAACAAACTCATCACCATACGGTCCAACTTTCATTTTTCCACCACATTCACTGCATTGGCGTGTTTTTTGGATCATATGACTTTAATTGCAATTGAATTCCATTTGACACATTGCTACATTTTTGATATTTTAAAGTATTTATCTATACAAGAAGAGCATGTGTTATTGTTTGAACATGTCGCACATAAGTCATTGCATTTTTTAGTTTTGTAAAATTTGTTTTTATTATACCCATTTTAATACACAACACACCCATATTCTGAAAACTTTTCACAATTGTCAAGTGTTGTTATTGTGACACATTTCTTATTTTCTATTGTTGTAAATTCGACGTCTTCATAATACCCACATTTCATATTACAATTCACACAATCTGAAACGATTCCAACATAACTTAAACACTTCTCGTCACATTTTACACAATCTGTATTGATGAGGATATACCCCTCGTTGCACACAGCACAATCGACACAATTGGGTAAGAATAATTTGCACTTTTTAGCAAGTTTACCAACAAAAATACAATCGTTGCTTGTTGTGTCATAATAATACTGAAAAAACATGTAACACAACATCCGGCATTTTTAGAAAAAAAAATAGAACACTTCTTATCATGTGTAAGACACTCAGTGCCACAAAAACAATAATAATCATAGCAGTTGGCGCACCCCATGTTGCTGTTTTTTTTGCAGTTAATCTTCTTTTGTTCGGTGCTGAAAATTGATAAACCTTGATTCAATGTTCAAAGTAAAATTTGTAAATAATATTAGATATAATCAACTGAGTACATATAAATGCATAATATCGTTTCCATGGTAAAAAGTATAAATAAGAACAAAATATGTTCTTTTCTCAAAATAATACAATTTTTTTAAAAAAGAATATAGTTAAAAATTTATATATAATAATAAATAATTAATATTTTAATCATTTATAAAAATTGAATATAAAATTAAATTAAAAAAAGTATTCTGAATACAAAATTATTGATATTATCAGATGATAAATAAATGTTTAGATAAAAATATAAACAAGTAAAATTTATATATAACTACCACCTTGTACAATTTCTATATAACTACCACTTTGTACATTTTTTTTGTCGACACCCATGTTCATTTTTTCTTTTCTTGTCTTTTTTTTATTGTTTTTTCTCAAACATTCATTATTCTTTTTGAATACTTACATATCCAATCTTTTGAATTCTCTTCCTTCCAATTCAATTCAATTTTCAAACATATGATGTTTATTTTTTTTATTTTATGTATTTTTTAATTTTTTTGTTTATTTGTTTATTGTCTTCAAAATACAAATTTTGTTGTTTAGTATTATTTCCTTATATTATTTTTATAATTTATTATTTTTTTATAAATTTAAAATAAAAAATATTTTCAATTCATTTTTAATCAAAGTCAAAAAGTTGTTTTTTCCTATTTATTCACAAATTTTTAAAAGAGATAAATATTTCTCTTTTAAAACGGTGATATTTTTTCCTGTTTGATAATTGTTTTATTCATAAGCAACAACAATACTATTAATAGTTTAAAATTATTTTAATTATTTCAAATATTACAAAATTTGTTATATTTTGCAAACTTATGTTTTTCCTTAAATTACAAAATGGAAAAAAATAAATTAATTATCAATCAGTTGTGAATTAAAAATAAGTCTTTTACACAGATAAAGATTAAAATTAAATTATTGATACTTCAAATCAATACACATTGAATTTAAATTAGTTATGTATTTACTTTTTAACTTCATTTTTATAAATTTAAAAAAATATAATTATATTTTATAAATATAATTATATTTAATATTTTTTCGTTTTTAATTGAACAAAAAATAAACCAAATATATGAAGTCATTTTGGAAACATTATTTGTTCTGTAAATTTTATTTATTGATTATGATGATTGTTTTTTCCCTTTTTTAATAACTCAAAAAATACATTCAAAACCATAAAAATAACAAATTCGAGTGTCAACCATTCACACCAAAAACAAAGAAGTGATGCTTTTTTACAACAAAAAATAAAAAAAGATTATTTGGTACTCGAAATATACAAAACAACAATTTTGATGTGTTCGAAAACATGTTTGCGAACATGCATTAAACGGTCGAATACAACTATGAATCAAACAACTATAACTAAAAATATAAAATATTGAAAATAAAAAAAAATGCATGTAAAATAAGAAAAAAATGATGTTGTTTCACACAGCCGGTTTACCAAGTCATTGATTTTCGACAAGACTTTTAAACTTTCCTCTTAGTTTGTTAGCAACATTTTCAAGTTATTTTGTTCAATCATTACAAAATCACTTGTATTTATTCACTTTTATATGTTTAAAAATGATTCGTCAAATGGTTTAACCTTATTTATGTTATTGGTTGTGTTATTGGTTATTTGGTTTTGGAATAGGTATATTAATTATAATTTTTTTTATTTTTATTTTTTTTCATAATAAAAAAATATTATTTTTTTTGGCACATTTTTATCTTGATTTGATGTTTAGTTGATTATTATTTTACTTAATATAATAACTATTAAATTCTAGTATATTAAATTCTAGTATATGATTATTTATCATTAATACTTAACAAATAACTATACTTTAAAAAAACAAATTAACCAATCAAAACGGAACTAAATTGACCAATCCACGTGGATGGTCCACAAAAGTAAAAGTGATTGGCCAGTTTGATTTTGAAATCCAGTGATGGGTATATAAGACGCTCTGAATTGAAAAACGACAATGAGTTGTGGGTGTGAGAAGAAGTGCAAATGTGAAGGCAGTGAAGCGATCACGTGTGGGTGCTGCTGCCAAGATGGGAAGTGCTGCTGTGACTTCAAATGCAAATGTGGTGCTGAAGGGAAGTGTGAGTGCTGCTGTTGCTGCAAAGAGGGGAAGTGCTAATGCAATACATTTGCAACTGGGATGACCATCACCTGTGAGTGTTGCTGTGAGGGTTGCAAGTGCACATGTGAGTGCAAGTGCGGAGAGAAGAAGGTGTGCCAATGCCAGAAAGAGGCATCAAGTGGGTGTTGTTGTGGAAAGACATGCTAAATCACTTTTTTCATGTTTATTTGTTTAAATTGTTGTTTGTAAAATTGTTGAAAGAAATTAAATTTACAAAAAATGAAAAATAAAAGTAATGTAGTGTGTGTTTACATGTTTGCTCGTAAATTAGATTAACTTTTACTTTATAAGTAAAAGTTTTAATAACAAAAATATGCAAGTTTCTTGATAAAATTATAATATAAAATTTATCCATCTTCAATTGTTAAATCAGGTTGTGTATCAAAATAATCACGTTGTTTGTTTAGCCATTCATTATCTTGAAACTAATGCGTTTTTTGGATACTCTGGTTATACTCAAATATTAAATTATTAAATCAACATATGGGAAATGCTGTGCGAAAATAACTCAAAATAGAAAACGAAAAAAAATGAATTAATTGATTCAAACCATTAAATTATAACAAAAGTACTTGTTGTATAGCGTTTATATACTATTGTTGAAAACAAGGTGTCCCCAAATTAGCTATTGAACCCAGGGTCTTTCAAGTTAAAGTTTTTTGTTCAAGATGTGGCAAAAAAATACAAAATATCACATTAAATTTTTGTTCTACTCAACACAAATATATTTATTTTTTTAATATTGATTTGTTATTTATCAATTCTTGCAAACTGTCATAATATGTGAATTCGGTGATTATACATGTTATATTTGGTTAAAATACATCGCAATATAAGTGTTGGATAATATCAATCTTTCAATAATTTTTTAAAAAAATTCTTATTCAAATAAAAATTTAATTTAAATGTATACGAAATTTAAACATTTTTGATCAATTTTAAACTTAGTCTTTTGACAAAAACTAAAATGAAAGTGTTGTTTGTTGTTTTATTTCAAAACAAGACTCACTCAACAAAAAAAACATTTAAAAACATGATATTTGAAGATTATATATCTTTAATTCTCAATGAAAAAGACCAAAAAAATATTTAAGTTAATGCCCGTTTTTACACCAAAAACAAAGCCATTCATTCGATTTAAAAACACAATTTCTGTAAGAAACAAATTAAATTGAATTATTAAAAGTAAATTAATAATATGGATAATAATAAAAAAATATAAAAAAATATTTGGAACATAATAAACAATGTAAACTATTGATAATTATATTTTAAAATAATAATCATGTTTTCGACATTTTAAAACATTGATCACAAAAGGATAAAACTCAATTATTTTCAATTTTATTGAATGTATGTGATTGTTTTATACTTAATATATGTAAAAAATTTGTCGTTGCGGAGTATTGTCTTGATGAAATGGAATACCGCAATGAGGTTCACGAACAATCTATAAACTGTTCTTCCAATACTTGGTATCTTTTGGATTCTACTTTGAAAATAAATCCTTATGTAAATATCGATATCATAAACTTTAAAACGGAAAGAAGTTCACTGATATGTAAACCGAATTCCAATTTAATAGTAACTGGTATTTTTTACTCTTTGGGTAATTCCTCTAAAAACAATTTGATATTTGAAACTGGTCCACGTTTTTCATTCAATGATTTAACGCTTGTGTTTATGACTTTGATATTAAATGATATGTCCACTGCAATAGGCTACAGTTTTTCGTTTACTGGTACATGTAAAGGGACATTAGAAGGTTCTTCTATTTTTAACATGGATGTTTTGAAAATAGAACAGGCTTCAAATTTAAAAACTTATAATAGTTCTTCTATCCAGTGTAAAAACATTTTAATAAATGAAACTTCAACGATTTCATTTTTTAATGATTCATTGCTTAGTTCAAACAAAATCATGACAAATTTTGGAGCAACGATGAATATGTACAACAATTCAACAATTGAATGTGATTTATTAAATTGTACTAATGGTTCAAATGTGAATTTGATAAACAACGCTATCATACACACAAATTCCATTGATATAAATAATGGGACATCTCTATGTTTGTATAATGAAACTTTTTTGGATATAAACAATTCTTTGACTTTGATAAACTCCAGATTAGATTTCAGAGATGGCTCAAGAATACATTCAGATTCTATCTATTTGAGACCAACAAATTTCGCTTTATTTTCAGAAAAAACGCTGGCTATGATGGTCTCCAATTTTTTATCATTTCAGTTATCTTTCACCTATGTTTTAACAGTGGAAAAATCCCCTTATATTAAAACCAACTTTTTGATTTTGGATTTTTTGGGTGGAATTATCAATGTAATAAACAGAGAAAGGTTTGACATGCCTTTATTTGTGACAAAAAATAGTACAATTCAAAATTTAAATGAAATATCAATTGCTGATTCGATTGAACAGTTTGATTTCATTTATTCAGATGAACAAATTAAAAATGATTTTATAACACCCAAATGTAAAATTTTGAAAGGACAATTAATTAGGTGTGGTAGCAATATAGATAATACTTTATTTTGTCACATCATTGGGATGTCAAATAATAACAACAATTACATTGAAAGTTATTGTAACGAATTTATTGAAGACTATTATTTAGTTCCAATTAATGATGTCCATATGATCGTTGTTAGGAGCGAGTTATCAAAAGGGGTTGTACGTCATGAAAAATCAAATAAAAAAGAATTAAACACACAAACTTTATATGTGACTTTTGGTGAAACAACTGTGATATTGGATAAAGTCACTGATTTTATCCACATTAATGTCACTTCCCAAATTCCAATTGATATTACCACCAACATTTTATCACAATTATCAAATCAGAAACAAATTTTTGTTACGTTCTCCAGTTCAAAAGGTGTTTTATTTGAACGTTATCTTTGTAGTAATGGGTTTATAATCACAAGTAAAATTATCTGCATCTTAAACGCGACATGTGAAAATGGTATTTTTGATTCGACAAAAGGGAAATGTCAAAAATGTCAAGATACAAGTTGTGCTAAATGTACATATGACAACCAAATTGAAATTTGTCAAAAATGTGATTCTCCTTATGATCTTTATGACAATATTTGTATGAAACACTCAATTTGTAAATTATCTGATGGTAACACGTGTATTGTATGTAATGATGGGTATATAATTAAAAATAAAGTTTGTGTTAAATTAGATGGAAAGTGCCAAATTGAAAGAAATGGTTTGTGTGAATTGTGTGATCCTATTTTTTCAAGTTTAATTTCTATATCAGGAGAATGTAAAATTGTTGAAAATGTTATTCAGCATAGCGCGCAGAGTGTTATTGAATGCAACAAAGGATATATGTCAAATTCTTCATATTGTAACAAGTGTGATCTAATACAAGAAGAATGTGATATTTGCGACTTAATGTTTTGTACAAAGTGTTTAAGTTCTTTTGTAATTTCACAAAATACAAAGTGTGTAACTTCTTCATGTAATATTGCTAATAACAATTTTAAAGATCAAAACGGTAATTGTTTTCCAGATATAACAAATTGTGAAATTGTTGTAAATGGAAAGTGTGTTAAATGTATTGATAATTGCATTTTAGAAAACGATACATGCATAACAAACTACAATAACACTTTTTGTGCAGTTGGTACTTCATGGGGATGCACTCGTTGTATCAATGGTTTTTATTATTCTTATAACACGAAAACGTGCGAACAATGTAACTCGAATTGTCAGACATGTCTAAGCCAATCGATTTGTTTATCATGTAATGAAGGTATGTTTTTGAGTGACCATGTGTGTAAGTCAAATGATGAATTAAAAGAGTCATATAAGAAGTTTTCGAATACAGGAAGCGGGTGTTATCAATGTAATGATGGGTATTATAGAAATGGAATTGATTGCAAGCATTGTGACATCAGCTGTGATACATGCCTTCGTTCTTCTGATTGTTTCACTTGCAATTTAACTAATTTTAAAGATTTTGAAGGTAATTGTAAACCACAGACTGATCTTATTGGATGTGCAGTTCAAGTAACACAGAACGGATGTTCTATCTGTAAACCCGGCTATTATTCAACAAACAATGAATGTGGAATTTGTTCAAACAATTGTAAAGAGTGTACCTTATATAATAAGTGTTCTTCATGTCAAGATAATTATATTTTGATTAACAGTGAATGCAAAATATATTCTTAAATTGACTCTTGCAATTCTGGAATGGATTCCAAGTGTTCAAAATGTTCATTTTGGAAGAAGCCAAATGAAAGTGGTACCTTCTGTCAAAACTCACCAGTTTGGTGGCTAATAGTTATTATTATAATTATAATATTATTAGTTATGGTACTCCTTATAATAGGAACATGTAAAGCGTTGTCACAACTTTTGTCTTCAATCCACAAAAAACAAGTTGAGTTGAACACAACAATATTCAATATGAAACAATCAAATGTTTCATTTACAAAATTGTCAAATGGTATTTTGGTGAACAAAACAGTTTTGGATTTTAATGAAGAAATTGCAGAACTACCGATTGGCGAAAGTACCCGACAATTAATTTGTATTGGCAATGCAAACAAAAATCCATATAAGATACAATTTTCAATAAAAGAAGAAGAGACAAAATTCACACTGAAAATAAATCCCGAACTTATTGTTTTAAAACACGGAGAAGCTTGTGAATTTGAAATATTACTCGTACCAAATTATACCACTAAAATTGACAGTAAAATGGTAGTTATAGCAAAGAGTCTCAAAGTTCAAAAGGAGATTTATAATGATATCAAAATTGAAGGGAATGCCGCTCTTTCAACAAGACTTGACCCAACTGAACTAATTGATAACGAAAAAGTTGGTGAAGGCAGTTTTGGAGTTGTTTATAAAGGCACTTTCAGAGGCAATTTAGTTGCAATTAAAAAGCTTAAAAATATTTCAAATGAAGAAAATGTCCTCGACGAATTTACAAAAGAAATTGAAATGCTTGATAAATTTAGATGTGATTATATTGTTCATTTTTACGGCGCCGTTTTTATTATTAACAAAATGTCTATGGTCACAGAATTTGCAAAATATGGAAGTTTAAAAGATTTGATACAGAAAGAGTCGGGTAATTTTGTTACCACACAGATGCGTTCAAAATTCATGTTAGACGCCTCGAGAGGACTTATGTATTTACACACAAACGGCATATTACATAGAGACATAAAAACTGATAATATCTTAATCTTTTCAATAGAAAGCGGAATGGTAAACGCTAAACTGACTGATTTTGGAGCGTCGAGAAACATCAATTTGTTGATGACTAACATGACTTTCACAAAAGGTATTGGTACACCAAAGTACATGGCGCCTGAAGTACTATCAAGAGAACATTATAAAAAGTCTGCAGATATATTCTCACTTGGTGTAACGATGTTGGAATGCTTTAAATGGGGAGAAGTCTATCCGAAGAGTGAATTTAAGTTTGCATGGGATATAGTCAATTTTGTGACAAATGGAAAACGAATTAAAAATGACGGAACTGTCAGAAAGGACATTTTTAATATCATCCAAAATTGTTGGTGTCAAGACCAAAAAGATAGAATAAGTGCAGAAAACGTTGTGAATGCTTTACAAACATTGGTGTTTTAACTATATTATGTTTATTATGATATAGTATAATTATATACTATAATATTGTAAAAATAGTTGGAATTTCAAAAATCATAATATCTGAATTAAAAAGAGGGGGAGAGGCAAAACCGAAAAAAATTGGGTCGACCAGAAAAAGTGTCCAGAGAACATATTCAAATTGAAGTAAAACAAACAATTGATAATCCATTGTCTTCTTCATTTTTTGGTTTCACATGATGTTACACTTTCCCCCTCTTCTGTTTGGCGAATAAGAAAAAATGAAAGATTTATTTATGCTAAACAAATAAAACGATCAAACATGACAGATAAGCACGTTTTAGATCGACTCAATTTTTGCAAGAAACAATTGTTTAATAAAAGAATTTTAGCTCGCTGGAATAAAACACTTTAATATCGGATAAAAGCCGTTTTCTGCCTTTATTCAGATGGTAATTATGTTTGGAGAAGATAAGGTGATTTTTTAACGAAAGTAATTTTGTAGTAACTCCGAAATACAACGCGGGTGTTATGGTATGGGGTGCAATTGGCCACAATTTTAAATCAAAGTTAATGTTTTTAACTGAAAAATCTACTCAGAATCTTACGTTGAAATGCCGAAAACTTTTAAAACGTTTGAGAACACAAAAGAAGTTTATAAACATGGAATGACCTTTCAGCAAGACGGCGCACAGCCACATACAACTCGTTCAACATTGAAATGGTTTCAGGGTATTGACTCATCATTGAGAGTCAAGTTGCTTGACTCATGGCCTGCTAACCGTCCGGATCTTAGTCCGATTGAACATTTGTGGCATTATCTTGTATTCTTATTATGAAGGTGAAGAACATCTTTTTGAACGTTGAAGAATTAAAGCAAGCACTCATTGAAGCGTGGGAATCAATATCATTGGAAACAATAAACAATTATATTGATTCAATTCCAAAACGATTTAAATTATGCACAGATAATCAAGAAAAATTTACAAGACATTTGCTTTAATTTATTATTATTGGTTTTTAGAACTCAAAATTTTATTATTATTTGTATTAAAAACATTGATTTTGTTTTTTGTTTGAAATAAAATTTTAACGAAATTAATTTTTAGTATTTTGACATAAATGATTCGGATTTAATTCACTGAGATGTTTGTTGTTGTGTAATTAGCACAACTACACTGTGTGTGTTGTCTAGTAGAATATCCAATTTTTGTCCAATCAAATAACGGGATCGGGTTTTTTTGGAAAAGGCTGGTTAATATTCCAACAAAGTCCCGATATAGTACGAAAATAATTGAACGGGATTGGTGTTTTTTTCAAAATTAAGTCAGTACTTTCAATTTTTTGTTTTTTGTTTTTTAGGAAAAATAAAAAATAAAAAACGGGACTTTAGGAAGTTTTAAAAATACTGCGGTACATACTTTTGAACTACAGTTCACAAAGAGTGATATCAAAGTCACTATAAAATTTTTTAAGTCAACATTTGCTGAATCAAGTACAACTCTACAATTAGAAGTCGGAATGGCACAAATTATCAAGTTGTCAATTAACAGTCACTTATTTACACGTCAATGCCTCTTTTAATCAATCATTTGTTGTTAAATCGCCACGTCTTATTATACCTTTGTTGTGCTGTTTTGTTTTTATGAAAATCATTAAACAGACTTGTTAACACCACTTTTTAAATTCAATGTGTTTCACCAAAATCAGTCAATTACATTATAATTTGTAGTAAGAACAGTCAACGAAAAATATAAAATTAGAAATGTAAAAGTAAGTTAAAAATCAGTTTTCACCCATATATTGATAGCATGTAATGGTGTTGTTGAGTATTTATAACAAGTATTTTGTTGAAATTTTTTATTTGTTAAATATTTAATATAGTATCTATTAGTTTTCAAACTAAAAATCAAACTAATAATAAGAAATTGATTAAAAAATAAAAAAAATTGATGGTCAATGGGTAAAAAACGTTATCGCTTTGCTCGGAAGTATTTTTACCTTCAGTGCACTGGCAGGACATTGATGTGATGTATTTCTGAGGTCGCGGTGAAATAAAAGACACATTCATCACACAAATTACATTTTGTTGATTTATTAATTCAAGAGAAAAAGATGATGAATCAAACACAAATTGTGTTTAACTCCTTGTCCTAGTTTTGTATGTGGTTCGCAAAAAAATCGGGTTTTTAGTTAGAAATATCTTTTACGTTATTATGACAAAGTTTGCATTTCTTTTATACGACTTTGGATAAGAAAAAGATTTAGCTGATGGCGTATATGTGTTAGAAATTGAAAAAAAAACAACGACGGGTTAACGTCGGGTTCTAAAGCGACTGTTTATGGTTTGTCTATAACGAGACGTTGTTTATATGTGATACTACTTGACGATAGTTATGTTTTTTTTATATTTCAACTCCTATTGTGAATTGCTAAGTAAAGAAACTTAAAATTGTAAAACAATAAACAATTGTGTTACTTAAATATCTGTTTTTGTATTGGGTTTTTTTCGTGTGTATTACAATGCACATTTTCCCTCTTTTTGAATTAATGAAATTCTATTTTAAAACGTGTTTTTTTAAAACATTTTAAAGCAAAAAACATTTGTAAAGCAAAAACGATGTTATTTTAAGTGTTAATGATAAACAAAAAATACACATTTGTTAAATATTGAAGAGTTCTTGAAAATGGAGTACTCATAATATTCATTGGTTTGTATTATTATTTAATAACAAAAAATATAATAAACCAACTAATAACAACACACGTCAATATTATGATGCCTTTTTTTCAGCAGTCTATCAAACTTTGAATTTAATGAATTAAGAGTATGAAGAACGATCAAAGGCGCTGATCATATAAAAATTCATACTTTTTAATAAAATATCAAATAATATCACAAATAATTATTTTAATATGGAATAAAAAAGTCGCTAAAGTGCATAGAGACGTATAAAGATTATTTAATTGTGTTTGCGTTATATGTTGACGACGAAACTTTATTGTGTAGAATTGATGAAATGACTAATTTGACAATGATAATTAGAAATAAAGACCACAACTATCAATGTAACCCTTTTCATAATCAGTATCTAGATACAGTGCCATATTCCTTATTTTTGATGAGTTTAATCTTGATAGATATCCAATTTAAGACTCTACAATGTATTGTGTGTATGATCATGAAAAAATAATTAAAATGACGTTTTGGGAACACGTTTTATTTGGTAGATTATCCTATAATTGAAACGGATGTCTTATTCCCTCAAAATTTTTTAAAAAAGGTGGTAATAAAATTACTTGAGCACCAACATTACAATTTATAAAAGTGATGAGTGGGTTGAATTGTATTGAAGATGCTAAAAATGTTATATTATTCATACCTCGATTTAGTGTTTATGGACAATAAAGGTCATCTGTTTATGAATAAATGGTTTGATTTGACAGCCACAACTTACAAAAATTATAACACAAGTGATGTCATTCTTTCGGTTGAAAAAAAACGTCGCAAGACAACATAAAAGAAAATAGGATGTGTGTTTGATTTAAGAAAGTAAAAAAAATTGATAATATTTTAATTCCAAATAAAGACCAAAAAATAGAAGTTCTTTTCTATATCTTTTAAATTATATACATTTAAAATGTGATAAATAAAAAATTGATATAAATAAAAAATGTTAATACAAAATATGAACTAATTAATGTGTTTATTTTGAAATGGGTTCAGAATTAATAAGCGTTGTTGTGTCATTTATATTTTTTGATCATTTAATTTGATATTTAATAATTTAATGATACTAACTTGTTTAAAATATTGTAATTTCGATTTTTCTTGTAATAAGACAACAAATTATCAATGTAAATATGTTATTTACAATTCAAAAATATTATTTAAAATTATGTTTAAACGAAAAATAAATGTGTTAAATTTATTTTAAAAATATATTTTGAAATCAAATTAAATTGTTTTAAAGAAAGAATAAACAAAAAATTATTGATTTAACATTATCTTTAGATAACTAAAATTTTATAAGTTTCAATTGATAATTATTCTAATTATCAAATTATTATGTTTTTTGTTAGTATTTCAAAGTGATAAATAATAATATAAATACAATATAAAATTTACAATTACAATTACAACAATTAATTTTTAGTATATAAATGTTGATATTGTAATAAATAAAACACAAAACAACTTTTAATATATGTAATTTTATTTAAATTAAAAATTTTATTTTAGAATTTTGTATTTGTGGAAAAAATACATGATTTATTTTTTCCATATTTTTAAAAAAGGAAAAAAATTAAATTAAAATAAGAAATATGATTGTATAAAAAATATTGAATATAATTATTGATACGATATGAATGTGAGAAAATATAAAAATAAATAATTATTGAAAAAAATAGGAAATTAAGAAAAATTGTAAAAAAGAATTAAAAAATATATAATGTGTATTCAAGTGATTGGATAGACTGAGAAAGTGTTTATTTAAAAGAATGGTTATTTTTCAAAATATACGGATATTTTAACCTAATCAAACCTCAGTTTCTGCAATTTAGATATTTTAATTTTTTGTCAAAGTCTTTAAAATGCCCATTCTTGAGAGAACCCATTCTTCAGAAGTACTGCTTTTTGGAAGTTTTATTGTATTGATTTTATTTTACATTTTTTATTTTTTGATAAAATTATAGTTTTATATATTATTTAAAATACAGCCAAACTTTTTTTCACGACTTAATTATTAAAAATATGTTACAAACTTTTGTTGTGGTCTAACAATGAATACTGCCAATATGATATGCCAAATAACAATAAATTAGTGTTCCAAGTGTTTCAATATTATCAATTGATTTAGTTTATCAATATTTACGAAATATACCATCAAATTGTGTAAATCACTGATTGTTATCAACAAAAAGACAACAAATATAAAATTGAAAATTTCACATTCTATACATCTCATACAACTTCGATATGACAAAAGTTGTATGAGATGTATAGCATAAATACAACACGTGCTATTTATGTAAAAGATTTAATTAAATTACGAGTTGTGTGACAAAAAGAAGTGTACCTATGCATTTCTTGATATTTGGTATCAAGAAATGACACTTCACACGAATATGTCATTTTAATCAAAAATTCTAAGTACTATAAAAAAATTTCAGAATGTATCGTGGATATTTTCTGTCTTAGAATTTCAATTGCCAAGCATCCATTGCACAAAGACAACACATTTTTTAATGAAAACATGTGTTGTCATTGTGAATATGGTTATGTTCTGTTGTATGGAATGTTTTACAAAGGCACCATAACACAATGTGATAACTCTGAATTTTTTTCATTGTTTGGGTGTTTCCGATGTGCAAATGGATATTATACCAACAACGAAAACAAATATAGTAAATGCAACACAAATAGTACAGATTGAAAAGAGAAAACTGAGAAGTCTCGGAGTTGTATAACAAGTACAGTGTAATAAAACAGGAAGTATCAAATTTACACTTGAAGGCATCTACAATTCATATGATGATAGAGGGCAGTGTATGTGATGTGTGGATTGGTATTATGTTTACAACAAAACGTTTCAAAAGTGTGATAATAATGTATGATTTGTAAAATGATCATATTTGTGAAATATGTAATAACAAATACTTCATGAATGTAATGGAGTTTCTGAGAGTGTGTACAACATTACTAATTGTGGTGAAATCTCAAAGACTTTTGGGTGTTTGTGGTGCTCTGATGTGAATATCAAAAGTGGGTAGAGTTGTGTCCAATGCAAGCAAAACTGCTTATTTTGTACAAAAGCAAGTTGGTGTGACGAGTGTCGCAACTACGCGGTGTTAAATGTTGCTGTATGTGATGGGTGATTGTAAATAAAACATTGTCTGAATGTTGCGAACTTTGGTATATCAAAAGTGACGAAAACTTTTCTTGTGACACATTGATTACGATTTAAAATACATATGATTGTGATATTTGGATGAATATTCTTATTGTTATTATTTACGACAATTATAAGTTTTATTGGATTATTTCAAATACAATCAAATCAATTCAAATTGGATTGTACAAATAAGGGCAATGTTTTTTGTTCTCTATGAAAAAAAGCCAATAAAACCACCAATTAACAAAATATAAGTGATTTTGTAAAAATCAACATATTTTTATGTTGATATGTCAGTACATAGATTAAAAACAAAAAACATTGTATATGGGAAAAAACCAAAAAAAAATTATTTATTTATAATAAATTAAAAAAAAATATAATTGAATGGTTCTAATACAGTGAAAATACGTCTGAAAATGATGGGAAAATAGTTTAAAAATGACAGATTTTATTTTAAAAGGACAAGATTTTTAATAAAAAGGACGAATTTCGAAAGAAATGGTGATTTTCATGAAAAAGGACAGGAATTTATTATAAAAAGGATGGGATTTTTGTTAAAAAGATGGATTTCAAGAAAATATGACAGCCATTTTTTTGAAAAAGGATAACATTTTTAACAAAAAGGATC